GGCGGTCGCTCGCTGCAAAATGCACTCGCTTCTGAGTGAAACTTGCTTATAAAGCTGAACAAAAGCGCATGCTTGCAACGGCTAGCCTGGTACGTTCCAGCTATGTTATGATACTACTTTAAAAAATAACCATATTAATTTTTGCCTTTGCATAAATATACAAAAAGACATAATCGCTAAAACTCAACTCCCTTCATAGGTTCTCAAGCTGTCTTGGTAAAATTGTTCTTGGAAAGGAAATACCTAATTTCGTATTTTTTCTTACTGCAGCATTAATGAACGAAACTAATCAATAAATTGAAGCATTTTTATTGAAATACTAGTCTCAACGCTGGTGTTTACTGTACGCCGCACTATGATGCTATTTCTCGATTATGCTTCGAGAACTGTACAAACCTTTGCAGCCATTTCCTGCTCTTGTTCGATGGCAGGCGCAAGCGTCGACCTAAAAGAAAATGATCTGGATGGACCCGTATTTTCCTTAAATACGACGATTCTTAAAGAACTACTGCATTTTTACTCTTTCGCACGATTTTTTTATGGTCTATTTGTCATATAATATATTCACTTACATTTCCTAGTTTTTCCCTAGTTTTTCTGTTACTATGTTTTACAGAAAAGCTTCTGGAATATAGTAACAGAAAATTCTAGGAAAAACATTTCTAGGGACTACCTAACAATGCCAATTTTAACTCATTTTTGCAAATTTTGCATTCTTGCAGGCACTGCCACGAACGGAATCATTTTTGCAAAAACATGGATAGACCTATAGTGAAATACACTCACTTCCAGTCTTTTCGGACTTTCAAAACGCAATCTGGCATGTCGAGCAAATGTAGTTGTAATCAAGTGTACCTATTCTTTTTCACCCACTTGTATTGTATCCATTTTTCATGCAGATTGTGTCCATAATTTTGTGTATATGCCGGGCTCAAACAAATAGTTTTTGCGATTTACAGACTTTGTCTGCTTCTGGCTTCTCGTGATAATACGGCGGTTGGCAAAGTGGTACTCTACTAGCTCTTGTGATAAAACTTGGAATAGAGTGATCGTAATTGTATGCAGCTGTTTTGAGCTTAACTGCCTTTATAAGTTGAACTTTTGGCCTTCAAACGCCGGTAAATCTTCGTATGGTTACCGCATATTAGACAAGTCGAAAAAATGCTTTTGAGCTGAGAGTTGCTAAAACTGAGAACGGGCATCATTTTGATCAGGCAGTACTATTTTCTGACAAGGTAGCTTCTGATAGGAAGGACCGAGAACTTATGATTCTTTGGCCTGCGACAGGCGATTTTGGGGAGCGTAGCAACTCGGTCCAGTCAAATTGCTATCCAGTGTGATAATCCCAGTGCTAGAAAAGACGACTTACGTTGCATCGCTGAGTTCTTCCGAATCGGTTATTGGTACATCGACATAAGAGGGTTCTGCAATAAAATATTTACACTAGGTTAATTTTATACCATCTCGACTGATAATGATCATTTTTAAAAATGTCATCTCGACCTCTGCCCAAATTCGTAATAAATTTCAACTATTCGAAATATCCTTCAGTCTGCACGTCAACCCCTCAAAAAAACTTTCATCCACGGAATTGGCGGTCGCAAATTGAGAAATGTGCCTCTTGCAGAGAGTAAAACTATGAATGTAGCGAGCAATGAACGGGAAAAATGGCGAAAAGAGAGAAAGTGACTTTGCATTTGAACCAAATATTACCTCTGCTTTATCGGAGTCCGAACTACGCATAATGTTTTCACTGAAATTCAAACAAACCTTCGGTTGGTGCTGCCGATACAGCCACTGCCAAAGCAAGCATTGCGGTGACAATGACGAGCTTAGCCATTTTGTTTTTGTTCAGACCTAAAATTTGGTTCATATTTACAAAATCGTGCGCAAAAAGAGCTGTTTAGAATTTTCTCGCACCTGTTTTTTCTTACAGTGCCGAGTTAAATAT